CTTCTTGGTTTTCACTGCGAGTCCCACCTCCGGCAGACTAAGGGTTGGATCCCAAGGCCAAGACACTAAGTGATTTACAGTCCTGGCATGTAGCTCCCAGATGTGGGGCTGCTGAAATCTGAAACCTGCACGGACACAGCTGTGTTGGCAAAAAAAAAAAAGGTAGAAATGCAACTTTGCTGCCAACTTGGGTTTTCTGCTCCATCGGCTGCCTGTGTCCCCAAAGGGCTGTCTGTGTGCGTTAGAGCTCTGCTCCCTTGGTCTATGGTCCGCTGCCCACAGTCCCAGCCCACCGGGGTCTCCACCTTCTTCTTTCGCTTCCCTGCAGACAACTTGAGGTGCGTGGTCAGGCTGATAACCACAGTCCAGCCCTGGTGAGTCCAGTTCTCCCATCAGAGAGTCCTGGTCTAGTGGAGCCTTCTGGAACCCCTAAGGGCCATCTCATTTTCTGTGCTCAAGCAGGAGTGAGGTGAAGTCAATAATTTACCTGTGTTCATTTCCAAGAGCTGTCATAACAGATGATTGCAAACTAAGTGGCTTAAGAAAATAGGTGTTTTTTTTTCCTCTCATAGCTCAGGAGGCCAGAAGTCTGAAACCTGGGTATCAGGCAGGGCCGTGTTCCCTCTGAAAGTTGGAGGGGAGATCCTATCCTTCTCTCTTCCAGCTCCTGGTGGCTCCTGGCAATCCTCAGTGTCCCTGGCTTAGAGCTGCATCCCTCCAGCCTCTGTCTTTACCTGGGCTTCTTCTGGTTGTATGTCTTTCTGTGTGCTCTCTCTCTTTTTCTTTTAAGGACATCACTGCTTGGATTTAGTGAAATGAAAAGTTGCTCAATTGTGTCTGACTCTTTGCAACCCCATGGGCTATAGCCCGCCAGGCTCCTCTGTCCATGGGATTCTCCAGGCCAAGGATACTGGAGTGGGTTGCCCTGCCCTCCTCCCGGGGATCTTCCTGATCCAGGGACTGAACCCAGGTCTCTTGCACTGGTGGCAAATGCTTTACTGTCTGAGCCACAAAGAAAGCCCCCTTGGATTTAGGGCCCACCCTAAGCCAAGATGACATCATCCTGAGAGCCTCAGCTAACCCTATTCCTAAATAAAGTCACATTCTGAGGTTCCGGGTGGATGTCAGTTTGGGGAACACACTGTTCAACCTCCTATACTGACCTTTGGGGATGTTTATTCCCCACTTAAATACACAAGCTAACACATTAGAGAATGTATTTGGGGTCATTGTTTTCAGTTTTAGTGAACTTGAAACATTCGGTGTTTAGTCACTTGACAATCATGTTCATTTTTCCACATTAAACTCTTCACAATCTCCGCTTTTAGTGACCACCTCTCACTCTGCCGTAGGAGTGGTGGGATGGCCTGGAGGTAGGCGTGTGGGCTCGAGAGCTGGACGGCCACTGTTTGCATCCTGCTGGTCTCTTTTGCTCACTGTCATAGGCTGAATTGTGTCTCCTCTCAAATTCAGATGTAGACTCCCAAGCCCCAGGATCTCAGAGTGTGACTAGTTGGAGATGGGGGTCTTCAAAGAGGTGATTAAATGAGGTCCTTGGAGTGGGTCATAATTCAATCTGACCAGTGTCCTTATAAGGAGAGGCGATTAGGACATAGACACACACAGAGGAGAGACCAGATGAAGACCCTGGGGAAGACAGCCACCTACAAGCCAAGGACAGAGTCCTCAGGAGAAACCAGCCCTGCCGTCACCTTGATCTTGGACTTCCAGCCTTCAGAGTCCCGAGAAAGGAAATTCCTGCTTTTCAAGTCACCCAGTCATTAGTACTTGTCATGGCAGCTGAGCTGACAATATACCAGCCACTGGGGCAAAGCAACAAACCTCCTTGGCCCGGTTCTTTCTCTTGTGTATTCGGGGTCCTCAGGGGTTCAGTGAAGATTAGAGAGGATGCTCCATGTGTTGCCTGGCATGTGATTTGAAGGCACTCTTACTGGGATTGGTACACCTTGAACTGTTTCACCAGCCCTTCAGTCATTGCTCAGTGGATGGGCCCTGTTTATTCACTGGGTGAACCTCTGACATGACCATTTGCCCTGTGATGAAGGCTGCTGTAGTCAGCAGTGGGGTAACTGGTCTTTGGCCACTTTCTTGCAAGAGATTTTTAGGACATTCTCAAAGTCATCACAGCTGAGTACCCACAAGGGGCCCTGGGTTGGAGCCGCCTATTGCCATGAGCTCCAAGGTCAGTGCCCAGGAGACCTTTTGCTGGTGGCAGTGAAGACCCCGTCAGAGGTGCCAGGCAGCTCCTAGCCCCAGAAAATGAGGCTCTTGGTAACCACATCCCTTTCCTTCTTCAGATCTGTCCCGGTCTGATGCCTCCAGCTGCTACCCGGTAACTCGGTGGCAGCAGGAGACAGGCGAGGACTCCTGAAGAGGGAAACCCAGCTCGAGGGCCTCCATGGGTATCTCACACCCACCTACGGCAGGGCGTGGTCCCTGAGCTCTTGCTAAATAGTTTATAGCCCTGTCCTCCCGAGCTTGCTGGCTCCAGGTGTGCCGAAGTGGGAGCTGAGCATCGCCGGGAGGCTGAGCCCTCCTGCTGGAACCACCTCCCCTCCCCACTCCCCCACCACCTCGGGCCGGGCGCCTCCAGCCCCGGCCTTTCTTCTTCTTTTCTCGAAGAGCCGCAGCAGGCAAACAGGATGCACCACTCCCACACGCGGAGACTCAGACGAGACACTTGGGTCGAACCGCATCCTGCTGGTGGTGCTGGGTCCCATCTGCTGCGGGCCTGGTTGGGAGGAGGGGGTGGGGGCTTGGTTCCCCGGGTCGGGGGCACTCAAGAGCCTGGTTTCATCTGTCACACTTCGAGCATCATTTCAAACGGTGAATTGGATGAGCATCTCAAAGTCCCCTTTGGAGGTTCTTGTGCTTGGGAGGGCTGAATAATGCAGGTCGTGATGAGGAATGACACACCCGCACGACATGATACTGGCATTTCGCATCTCCTGTCTCACCCCTGCTTATGACTTCTGTATTTTCTGGGAGGTTTTTGGCTTTAATGAATACTTTCTCCAAACCTTATCGAAGCAGTCTAAGATGACAAGATTGCTACAAAATAGATGCCCACTCTGGAGAGGTGTAAGGCGGGGGCCTTTGGAGCGTGCTCTCTCCGAGCAGGTTGACCAAACTGGAAGCGCACTCACAGAAGGGCGAGCAGCAGCTCAAGAGTTTTAGGAAAACCTGAAGTCCAAACTCGACTCAGAGCAAAACGATGTAGGCGGTGCTCCCGTGTTTGGAGCCGTCTTGGGAAAACGAAGGTGTCAAGGCCAAGTTCCAGCTCTCCCAGCTCCCGGCCAGATGTTCTGAGTCCGTGGACACCATCAGGCATTTCATTTGTAATGTAGTATACGTGCCTGTGGCGAGAGGGTGGGTTTATTTATTTATTTATTTATTTATTGCCTTTTTTTTTTCCATTTTTATTTGTTGGAGGCTAATTACTTTACAACATTGCAGTGGTTTTTGTCATACATTGAAATGAATTAGCCATGGATTTACATGTATTCCCCATCCTGGTCTCCCCTCCTCCCTCCCTCTCCACCCGATCCCTCTGGGTCTTCCCAGCGCACCAGGCCTTGTCTCATGCATCCAACCTGGGCTGGTGATCTGTTTCACCCTAGATAATATACATGTTTCGATGCTGTTCTCTTGAAACATCCCAGAGAGGGTGGGTTTAAAAGATGTTTTGCCACTCACTTGGTGACCCCGCCTGGCAGCGAGCGTCATTCTAGATGCCCCTGGAACTTTCTGTTTGTCGAGTCCATGGCGGTGCAGTCAGTGAAGGTGCCAGGTTGCGTGGTGTGAATTCTCAGTCTGCACAATGTCCTGAAAGTCCAGTGGGAAGGTCTGAGATGGAGAGAAACTTCTCAAAATAAGAGACTGTCCCTCGATAGCCCGAAGGTTCTTCCCTTTTGTTTCCCCCTGTTCCAACCCCTTGGCAGGGCAAGGGAGGACTGTAGCAAAGCATGAGGAGGCACTGGGGGAGGAGGATGTTGGGAACAGGGACTCTGGCTGAGAAGGGGGGAAACTCTTTGCGAACTTGGGGTGCAGCAGGTGGCAGTCCTCTAATCCATCAGGGGTCCTCCCCTCGCACCTGGCAAGTGTGTATTAGAATAACTTCTTTCCCAGAGATGCTCTCCTGGGCCTGTGTGAGTGGGCAGGTGTCTGCATCCTGCAGCTGACTGCTATTTTCTTTAATTAGAGCCTGTTCCCAAAGCCCCTGCTCGCAGAGCTTGTCATTCCACTTCTCTGCCCTGCACTGAATAAGCCCCCTTTTGTTTCTTGGCGTAATAATAGGTTTGTGTAAGACTTTGGTTGCCAGACTTCTGGGGGCCTAAATATTAGCACCGTCTGATATGATAGTGGCCTTTACTTCATTGTCTCTACAGATATGGCTTCTCTGCTACCTCAAGTTCCCGGAGACCCACATCCCTGTATTATCTAACCTGAATACAGTGGTGATTCTATTTTTTTTTTTAAGTGGTGATTCTTAAAGTACCTCTTGATCCAAGGGTATGCATCAATGTTGTGTGAATCTAGACTTCCATGAAAAATATAGATTTGCTCGTGTGACTCTTTAAGCTCTTATAATCCATTGAAATAATTTCATAATGACCCCAAACATCCAGGAAATCTGCTTGGTCTACCGCAAAACTTCAGCTTCCCTTGGGTGTTTGGCATGCATGTGCATTCCTTGGCACATGATCGTGCTTCTGCTCAGTCGCTCATTCGTGTCCAACTCTTTGTTGCCCCATGAACTGTAGCCCCTACAGACTCCTCTGTCCATAGAATTTTCCAGGCAAGAATACTGGAATGGATTGCCATTTCCTCCTCCACGGGATCTTCCCGACCCAGGGATCAAACCCATGTCTCCTGCATTGGCAGGAGGGTTCTTTGCCACTGTACCACCTGCAAAGCCCCAGCACATGATAGGTATTTAATAAATATTCAGTGATTTATAATTTTCCTTTTCCCCTTAGATCTTCAACCTCATGAAGTATGACAGTTACAGCCGCTTCTTAAAGTCTGACTTGTTCTTAAAACACAAGCGGACCGAGGAAGAGGATGAAGAATCACCAGATGCCCAGACTGCAGCTAAAAGAGCTTCGAGAATTTATAACACATGAGCCCTCCAGGCGCTAGCAGGACTGGCAGCTTTCAGAATCGAAGGAACTCACTCTCAGGACCATGCAGGGTGCATAATGGCTTTGTTATCTGCAAGGACTGAAATGTACAAAAACCCTTCCATGGGATCTGTGTATTTTATTATCTGCTTGACCAGTAAGTTTTGCATGATGGCTTATCTTAGATAAAAAGACAAATAGCTTTGAAGTTTTAGTTCTGTCTCACACACAAAAGTGAAATAGTCCTTACACACTGGACATCTTGAGTATTTTACGGCTTGATTAAACTTCATGTGAGGCCTCCAGGTGAAACTTAACAACCACATCTTCCCTTTGACGTCTTCACCCTCCCTCTGTGGGTGGGTCACTCGGGTCCACAGCTTCACTTGGTGAATCAGCTCAAGAATGAGTTGATCTGGCATGCTCAGGCCACTGGGGGCTTGTCTGTCAGATGCCTCTTGGGTTAAATACTTCTAGAGAATAAGTTCAGTGCTGGGAAAAGAAAATTCATCGCAGCCTCTAAAGATTCGGGGAGTTGCATGTGAGTATCATCGGAGGGCTCTTATTTCTGAGGTTTGGGTTTGTCCTGGTTTTGCCCACAACCTGTGACATTTCATGCAACACAGATAAACAGTTCATTTTGACAGAAACAAGATCTCAACCAGGAAGGAAGAAAACCAGAGACTGTTCAGGGTCCCCATGGCGATGCAAGGTGGTGCTGAATGGGAAGGTGGCACCCGGCCCCTGCTGATGATGGAGGGTGGGGAATGTTCGCTCCTCTCACAGCCCATTGGGTGAAACCCTTTCTTCTTAGTGCCTACCCCTCACTAGACTTCTTAACTCTGGGCTTGAGAGTTCAACCAGAGGATGGAATGGAAATGCTGTCTTTGGAAGCTCCCTCTTGGGCTAGAGTCTGTGAGCGAAGTCCAACGGTCCCAGGCGGTCCTAGCCAACCCAAGTTCCCCCCACCCTTGCCCCCAGCAAAGCCAAGGTCAGGCATGGTTCCCTTCTGCTCACTGTTCTGCCATCTGCTGCTGCCAGACCTTCTCCAGCATATTTGCCAAACCTTAAACTTCTGTTTATACAAACAAAGCAACTAGACTCTTCCTTGAGAGCCTTCCAACTCAGACATTCCATTTGCAAAACTCCCTGCTGTTGACTATGACTATGATTTATCAATCAAACCAGGACACTTGAGAGAGAAAGGCAGTGAGTTGAATCATTGTGCTGGGATAACAGGACATCAGCCAGTTCTGTTCTGGGTGAAACCCATTCACATAGTCACCTTGCTGATCCCCCTCTCCTGGCATGACCACTTGGGCGGTCCTCCAGATTCTCACTGTCCCTTCGCTGTGGTTTAATGCTCCCGTCTTTCCTTTCTGGGTCTTAGGGTGCCGTTGGCTGCTTCCAACCGAAGCACACAGCTGAACCTCATCAGAAACAGTAAACACTTGATCTCCCCCACTCCCAACAGGTGATCTGCCTCCCCAGGTCATCCCAGACAGGTTCTCTCTCTGCCTGGAATGAGATGGTCGTCCTGAGAATGACACCCAAGGGCCCTGTCATCTGGGAAATTCAGTCCATCTTCAAGCAGAACAGATTGATGTGCTTTTAGGAGTAAGGAACTAAAAAAAAAAAAAGAAAGAAATAGGTTCTCTAGCTGAACTTACAGTTTTCTAACCAGAAAAGTACAGAGATGCAGACCACCCTGCCCCCCAATGTCACAGACTCAGGATAATTTCAAGGCCCCATGGAGCTGAGCGAGTGGCTTGTGTGCTATTTCCTAGTTGTGTCCTACTCTTTGTGACCCTATGGACTGCAGCCCACTAGGCTTCTCTATCCGTGGAGTTTTCCTGGCAAGAATACTGGAGTGGGTTGCCATTTCCTCTTCCAGGGGATCTTCCCAAACCAGGGATCAAACCCGTGTCTCCTGCATTGCAGGTGAATTCTTTACCCACCGAGCCACCTGGGAAACCCTGGTCCTCCTATTTGAGAGCCTGTTCTGGGCGGGTCCCAGAGACTGCAGATGGCTGGAAACCCTCTTTCCGGCTTTCACATTTTTACCCCTGGGTTCAGAGACCCTTTGAGGTGGTGATCTCTTCAGAAACACATAAAGGAAACAGCTAGTTAGCCGGAAGCCTGTCTGCCAAGAGAAGAGCCTCTTGCTTAAGAGCTGCCTGAAAAACTCCCCAGTGGGAGGGGGAGCCGCTTACGTTTAACCACAGCTTACTCCCACCAGCATGTACTCACACCACCTCCCCCAGCCTGCTCCGGCCTGGCTGCCTACATCCCTTCCAAGTGCAGAACCAGGCGGGTACAGAATGCAGCTTCCTAAAGCCGTTGCAACAGTGAGATGGAAGTGTAGGGCATCTGTGTCCCCAGATGATGCTTCCACACTCAGCTTTTCACTTTCCCCCTATCCATTTATTGATTAGTAACTTAATTGCATCTGGGGCCTCCCTGGTGGCTCAATGGTTAAAAAAAAAAAAAAATCCGTCTACTGAGGCAGGAGACACAGGTTCAATCTCTAATCTAGGAAGATCCTACATGCTGTGGAGCAACTAAGCCCATGAGCCACAACTACTGATGCCTATGCACCCTAGAGCCCGTGCTCCACAACAAGAGAAGCCACTGCAATGAGAAATCTGTGCATCACCACTAGAGAGTAGCCCCCACTTGTCGCAACTAGAGAAAAGCCAGCGAAGCAACAAAGACCCAGCACAGCCAAAAATAAATAAGTAAATAAAATTATTTTAAAAGAATAAATAATAGTGTCTTCTATGGGCTAGGGACTGCGTCTAGTTGCTGTTGTTGAGCTGCTAAGTCGTGTCTGACTCTTTGCGACCCCATGGACTGCAGCATACCAGGCTTCCCTGTCTTTCACTATCTCTTGGAGCTTGCTCAGACTCATGTTCAACTCTTGTCCATTGTGTTGGATGCCCAGATTCAATGGGGACTGTGTAGCTGCCATGATGATTCAAGCTTCAGTGGGATTCACAGGTGTGTTAAAATGTAGGTGGTATTATTATTCAGGTATGGTTAGCCCAGGATATCAGGAGATGCTTATCACTGACAGGAGAGTCGGTTACAGTTTCTAAGTAAGAGGAGGGAGCAGGTCCCGCCATGCAGGGCTGATGGGAAATCACCAGGGTCGGTCAGGAGGTGGGGAGAGTGAGGGGGATATGTTGGCAAAAGCCTTTATTGTGGTTTCCTTGGAAAGGGCGGGACAAAGAGTAGACTGGCCAGCTTGGATCATTTCCATGGGCTCTGGGGCTTAGGCGGTGTCCCTAACGGACTGGTATCTGGGTTGAATGATTAGGGCAGGTGGCCCAGAGTGCAAGCACTCCATAAATAAGGGTCTAGGCGTGCCAGCTCTGGGTTGCTCAGTTGTTTTCTATCTCTAGGAATTAGCTGGTGCTGTGAGGAACAGTGCCTCCAGGGCCAGCCAGGACCCAGAGGTCAAAATTCAGTCACTCAGTCGTGTCCAACTCTTTGTGACCCCATGAATCGCAGCACACCAGGCCTCCCTGTCCATCACCAACTCCCAGAGTTTACTCAAACTCATGTCCATCAAGTTGGTGATGCATTCCAGCCGTCTCATCCTCTGTTGTCCCCTTCTCCTCCTGCCTTCAATCTTCCCCAGCATCAGGGTCTTTTCAAATGAGTCAGTTCTTCGCATCAGGTAGTCAAAGTATTGGAGTTTCAGCTTTAGTATCAGTCCTCCCAATGAATATTCAGGACTGATTTCCTTTAGGATATACTGGTTGGATCTCTTTGCTGTCCAAGGAACTCTCAAAGAGGTCAAAGCATCAGAGTAAAACATACATTTAAATCAACAGGCTGCAGGGTCTCAAAACATAGATGCTAAAAGACAAAACAAAACAAAAAAACCCACAGATGCTGTGTTTGACGGGGCCTATGTTTTAAAGCTGTCCAAGCAATTGCCTTGGGCAGAGCACCAGTGGGATCTCCGATTGGCCGAAGAGCCCGCCACGTCCTATTGCCTTAAGGCTGGTCACGTTCTATGTTATCTGCTGGCTCCAGAGCCTGTGCCCTGATTGCCATCTCCTGTGAGCAGATCAGCACAGCCTTGGTGACACTTTCCTCTGTGACTGCGGTCATTAACGATACCTCCGGATCCACCCTGCTGACTGGCCCAGAATCCGCCGTGGTCCACACTCCGGCAGCATCTTGCCTTCTGATGCACAGAACTCCCCTCCAAAGCATGGCAGGGCTCACCTCACACTCAGGGAACACTTTTCCAAGTGTTTCCACTGCTTCATCTGCAAAACCTTAAAAAGGAGAACAGCTATTTCTCCATTTTAGAGACGAGGAAATGAAGACAAAGGACATGACTCACACAGGCTCATGAGTGCTAGGGTCTGTGTTGGAACCAAACACAGATCTGTCTCCTGATCCTAGCTCCCTGTCTGGGTCCATCTTCTGCCTAGACAGGACCCTGGAGGAGCCCAGGGCTGGGGTGAATACTGGCAGTTAGTAAAGATGGTCACTTACACAGCAGATACTGAAAGAGCAACTACTACCTTCTCCTGGGCTTCCCTGATAGCTCACTTGGTAAACAATCTGCCTGCAATGCCGGAAACCCTGGTTTGATTCCTGGGTAAGGAAGATCTGCTAGAGAAGGGATAGGCTACCCACTCCAGTATTCTTGGGTTTCCCTTGTGGCTCAGCTTGGTAAAGAATCCACCTGGGTTCGATCCCTGGGTTGGGAAGATCTCCTGAAGAATGGAAAGGCTGCCCTCTCTGGTATTCTGGCCTGGAGAATTGCATGGACTGTATAATCCATGGGGTCACAAAGAGTCGGACATGACTGAGAGACTTTCACTTGCTGCCTTCTCCTAGCTATAGGAATGGAGGAGGTTTCAAGGATAAGGCATCAACCCTGCCTCTAAGGGAGCAGCTTATCAGGAGATGAGAAGGGGTCACTACCAAACACTCTGCTACAAGAAAGTAAGTGACCAGCCCCTGGGAGAGAGACTGATGGGGCAAGACTGGCTGGTTGTGTTCATCTCTTAGGTTTACACGCTCAGTTGTTTTGTTTTTTCCCTCCCTAAATATCAGAGTGTTAATTAAGCTTCATGTCAACATTGGTGGTGAAGTGATTTCATTCGAGAAACATGAGAATGAGTACTCTGTTTTTATCGGGATAAGCTTTTTATTTTTTTAAGATTTTTAAAATATGGGCCATTTTAAAAAAGTCTTTATGGAGCTAGCCACAACTTTGCCCTTGCTCCATACTTTGGGCTTTTGACTTCAAGGCATGTGCGATCCCACACCAGGGATCGAACCCA